GAATGAAGGCTGCAGCATCCTCCTCAGCAGTACCTCCAATTTCTCCGATGAGAACAATACCTAATAGGCACAGGGAAACAGTTACCAATGATATTCATTCTGTCACCCACCTAGTAGTAATGATACTGCCTAACTCCGTGACTCTAGTAAACAATTGTTAGAAACCTCAGTCCCTTAACTAATTAATATGTGGGATTTCAAGATAAAGAAAATTGTAAAAAGCAGGAGCTCTGTTTTCCATATACAATCCATTTTGCTTATCCTGATAAATTCAACTAAGTCAGAGCAAACAATTGTGAAAAATCACTAGGTTGGCATATACAGGGTAACTGATGGTATACAATGAAAATCAAGATTAAGCCTGTCCAATAAATTATTGTCAAATACAAAAGCAAGTAGAATATTGAACTTAAAACTAAACATGCAGATCTAACTGAGAGGCTAGAGGTAAAGCAGAACATAGCAAACTAAGGACAATTTGAATTAATATTGTGCAACCTCAGTCAGCCAGTCACAGACAGCGTACCTTCTGTCTGAGGATCATCAACAAACTTTTCAAGGCAATCAACAAAATTCGTGCCATTGAAGGGATCACCACCAATGCCAACACACGTTGACTGCCCCAAGCCTACGGCTGTTGTTTGAAACACCTGCCAGTGAAGAAAGAAATACACCTTAGGCAAATGTTTTCACAGATTGTTAGCCACACTAAAATTGATGTGCATACCGCTTCATATGTCAAGGTACCAGAGCGAGATACTATCCCAACACGACCTGGCTTGTGGATGTAACCTGGCATGATTCCAATTTTACATTCACCCGGCTTAATGATACCAGGGCAATTTGGTCCAATCAACCGAGTTTTTGATTGCTTGTTCAGAGCAGCCTTCACTTTCACCTGAAAGTTACAAAGAAACATTTAAATGGGTCACCTCATTAATTTCCTTTGACAAAAGGCAAGTAAAAATAGAACTGAGATAATCTAAAATATAGGAAAGAGTAAAGAACGACCAACTATGAAACAGCATGATTGATAACACTGTTTTAAGGAAAAACAGATTACCAGCTCAAAAGATTATTGACACCACTGCAATTGAACTGATCGGTGGTCATGCTGAAACTAATGGCAGCTAAAATCTCTTATTTATATGTGTCGTGTGTACAGCCACTTGAATAAAGTGAAAATAATCACGTATGTTATTTCCAATGGTCTCACTATTTTTTTTTCTAGCTTCTGTGTACAATTATGATGAAGAGAAAACATTTGGGAATCATCATGCACGGAAAGAAACATCATATTAATGGCATGCTGAAATTGTTGTAAATTACCATGTCATGCTGAGGTATCCCTTCGGTAATGCAGACAACAAGGTCAAGTTCGGCCTCCATCGCTTCCATTATTGCAGCAGCAGCAAATGGTGGTGGAACATATATAACAGATGCATTCGCCTTTGTCTCAGCCTTAGCTTCTGCCACAGAGTTGAACACCGGAAGGCCTAGGTGCTCGGTTCCACCTTTCTTAGGGGTAACCCCACCTACCTGTTATTGTGAGAAGTACTTCAATTAAATAGGGTAAAAAAAGTACACGACAAGCTAATCAGTCAAATTACTTTTGTTTCCATAAATCAAAATTGTAACACTAACTAAAGCATTGCAGAAACAAGTAAACAATGATAATTAAATAGGGTAAAAAAAAGTACACGACAAGCTAATCAATCAAATTACTTTTGTTTCCAGAAATCAAAATTGTAACACCTAACTGAAGCATTGCAGAAACAAGTAAACAATGATAAGACATGCCATTTCTTTGTTGAATTGCATTCAAAACCAAACTAGTGCTATACCATGTAAAAATAATCATATTTTAACAATTTCAGTGTCAACCTTGTGAGCTGTTAGAACATAATGAAATTATAACATACAATCTGACAAGCACCACACTGAGGTTGTCAGAACCCTCTAGCTGGTGCGAGACCTTTATGTAATGAGATCTTACTACATTCCGTAAGCACAGAACACTATCTAATGTACATAGCAAACAAACCACAAGCAAAACATGCCTTGGTGTATCCATCCAACTCTTTGAAGAATGATAAGATCTTAAATTCTTAATACAAAAGATCTACTTTGGTCGGATTTTCCAAGACAGCTTACAAGGTTTCAATGTGTGCAGAAAGTACTACTCAGTGTACCTAGCAACCAAACCACAACAAGCAACACATGCTTCGGTGCATCCATATGACATTTGTTCCTCATGCAATTTTCCAAGAGCATCTTAAAATGTCTCAAAGCATTCATGATGGTATTTGTTTCTCATGCTAATATGCTGTTTTAGATCAACCAGTTCCTAGATTTACAAAGCATCAAGAAATTCATAAAAACTTAGTTTACTTAAGGATTTTTTTCCCTCATCAGTAATTTGTTTTCCATGCGTAATCACTAGATTGCAGTGAAAAACATCACTAGAGCCATAAAATTACTAGATAATATGAACAGAGTCGTCATTACTGAAGCACCATCACCATTCAGATTTATTGAGACGTGGCAACGAATCATAGCTTTTTAGCCATTTCACATAACTTCGGGCAACCAACCCCATACGGAGGGAATTTATGGTAGCACATTTCAACTCCAAGATAACCCCAGTTCGGTGTATGGCGCAAACACCGTTCTTCTCTTTCCGATTGTGAATCCAGCCATAAACATAGCACCTGGCTGGAAACCAAACCCTAAAATCCGAGAAAATGGGGGATCGGCGACCACGCATCTACGAGATCGCACGCCATCGGACACCGGCTCTCCCTCAAACCCTAAAATCACGCCGCCACATGGAACGAAATGCGGGGATCGAAGAGGACAAACCCGAGCCGACCGGGGCCGCGGGGATGTGGGGGACCGGGACGTACCATGGTGGTGCCGTACTCGATGGCCTGCTCGGTGTGGAAGGTGCCGTTCTTCCCGGTGATGCCCTGGCAGATCACGCGGGTGCTCTTGTCCACGAACACCGCCGGCGACGGCGCGGCCGCGGCCGCCGCCGCGAAGCCCCGCGCGTGGAGGAGGCGGGAGGCCGCGGATCCCAGCAGCTGGGACGCGCGGCGGGCGGAGGCGGCCATGGTGGGTGGCTGGTGGTGGCAGCGGCGGGCGGCGGCGGCGGCGCGTGCCCCTTTTCTCCTCTCGATTCGATTTCGTTTGGGGTTTTTGGGCGAGTGCGCTCCTCCTCCGTTTTTGTTTACTTTTCTGGGGTCTCCTCGCGATCCATTCTTGCAGGGGAAGTTGGGTGGTCAAACTTTCCACCTAGACCCTTGTATTTGTCGCTATTATCGTGATGATAAAAATATAGAACTCCAAATTATGCTTTTTCTGATTGTTATTGTATTTTTTTTTCTCATTGGAAAATAATAAGGAATATACTCCCTCCGTTTCAAAATGTTTAACATCGTTGACTTTTTAGCACATGTTTAACCGTTCGTCTTATTAAAAAAATTTGTGAAATATGTAAAACTATATGTGTACATGAAAGTATATTTAACAATAAATCAAATGATATGAAAAAAATAAATAATTACTTAATTTTTTTGAATAAGACGAATGGTCAAACATGTACTAAAAAATCAACGGTGTTAAACATTTTGAAACGGGGGAGTATATGAGAGACATGGAAGTCAATTGTAAAGCCCATACAAGGATGTTTCCTCCCTCACAAAGACCAAAAAGAAAAGGAATCTTCCTCTCTCCCTTAGTCCCTCTACTTCATTTTCCTTCAAATTTATTATTCCTACCCAGATATGAGTTGTCATATTCCAAAGTCTCGATATAATGCCTTTCCATCATTCCATGGGGTTGTCAATGTATGACCTACCAAGAAGTTTGAGGTTTTTCAATCTTCTTGTAATTCGTTGGATCAAATTACACCTAACCTGACATGTAATTCACGATATTTCTTTTTTTTTCCTTCTAATGATTTGGTGGTAAAGTCATAGGTATCTCCTAGCGATGAAAATAATGTGGAAATTTTTCGACCATGCCAATACTATTTTTGTAAAAAAAATTGGTATCATTTCTTACTTTTTTTTCTATAAAATTTAGCTTTTCATCTTCATCATATTAAAGTTGCCATTACTTAAATTCATAAATATAGAAAAAATTCCAACGATACCATTTCCATAAAAATAATAAAAAATAATATTGTTTCCGACCATTTCCATTCCTACCTCCAGGGGCGGATCCAACATGGATGTTGGGAGGACTCAACAGGGGGCGGAGCTAAAACGAAATGAAATGAGTGCCACTTGCTTAATTTACTCTACTTTAGATCGAATTTAAGCTAATACGGATGTCTAAGTTTCATGACCAGATTCCTTGGCACCCCGTAATATACTCTGCCTTTGTCCATGGACCCAAGTTACCCTACCCTACTAGATCACCGTTGATAGAAGGATAGAGGAAGGGGGGAAGAGGAGGAAGAGAAGGGGGGAGGGAGTGCTGAAGAAGGAAAAAGGGGATGAGTCCCCCCCCCCCCCCTCCCCCCTAATCTTATCATGGATCCACCCCTGCCTACCTCCTCTTATGAAACTAAGAAATAAGGGTACGGTGTCACTGATTGTGCAAAGGTTAATTAGGTAGATTGAAATGAATCAATGGAAACCCATGCTTGGCTTGCCTGTATGTCCCTACCTTCTCAATCTGAATCAAGAGGATAAAAAACTTCTGAATATCATATTGAACTGGTTGAGGCCTGAGGGAGAAATCAGTGCGTTTGTTTTAACGCTCTCATAATTTTGACCACGACGAGACGATGAAACCTACCGATTAATCAAATCAGTCGTGTGTAAACAGCTTCTAACTATGTTTTGCACTAAAGCTGCATTCGCTGGTCTCACTTCTACTTCTTCTACGGTTTTCTTTACCCTGTCGCTGCAAACTGCCTCTGAACACTGAACCCGTGCATGAATCATGATCTCATCAACATTACTGAGCCTACTACTACGGTACTACTCTGCTACATAAATCACAACTCTGATTCAGTGATGAAGAGAACTTCACTTCTAAAAGAGTATCAACTTGTTTTTTACATCGGTTACATCATAGTACAGGTACACAATCAACAAGGCATGCAGTGCTCCATCCACAATTACATCCCAATACACCACCACCATTCACAGCCTACTCCGATCCCAAAAAAGAGAGGTAAGTCGCGTCGACGAACAGTCTTTTCATCTTCCTCCATTGGCAGCCATTGCTAACACTCCAACACCTGAAGAACTCCTCATTTGGGGGTGAAGGCCTGAAATTCACACACAAACATCACCAAATTAGTGACTGAATCAATGTGGTATCTCTGATGAGATATTCAGGTTGCAGGAGAGGTGCGTATAGGAAACTGAAACTCTTTTAATCACTCGGGTGAACGTCCACTCGTTTATTACACGTCAACTAAATGGTTATAAAAAATTTTAACAAGATAAACTAATATGCAATAGTGTTTATGGACTACGGACCTGGAAGATGGTGGCGTGGCCGGGGTCGGCGAGATGGGCGAAGAGGTTGTCGATGGGGCCGGTGCCGGTGTACTCTGCCTGGAACCAAGCTCCCATGACGGCGAGCATGGCGAGCCGCCCGTTCTTGATCTCCTTGGTGCGCAGCTCCTTGATCTTCTCCGGCGAGCCGGTGCCCCAGCCGAGCGGGTCAAACCACAGACCACCAGGGTACCTGAACATTACGTTTCCAACACACGAACACGTATTTCAGCCACTTGAATTACGTCTTCGAACAAGCTCGTGACACACTTCCATGGTGTCAGTGAGTCGGTGTGTGTTACCCGACGTCGGTGCCGGTGAGCTTGTTGTTGGGGAAGATGGGGTCGGTGTTGACGCAGCCGGGCTTGATGATGTCAGCCCACCGGCGGCCCTCGGCCCAGCCGATGAGGATGAGCTCGATGATGAAGAGGGTGGTGGTGTCGGTGAAGTATTGCTGCTCGCCGGCGGTGTACCACGACGGCGTGTTGAGGATGCCGATCTTGGTCAGGAACTCCGGGATGAAGATGCCCGCCGCGCCCAGCATCGCCCACCGGCAGTGCACCAGCTCCGCCTGCACGTTCCACCGCAAGCTCTCCGGGTCCGATCCTGCGTGTGTGCATGTACACATATGTCAGTACGCATGTCCAGAGGCGGCGGCGGCGTCGCCGGCGACGAGCTAGGAAGAAGATGAGGGCTCACCGAGACCCAGGGGGTCGAAGCCGAAGTCGCCGGGGAGGCTGCGCCAAGATCAATGGCAAGTATACGATGTCAGTAGAGAGCGAGAGTGTGTGTGAACGCGTCGAGCAAGAGAGGTAAGATGGATATACCGACCTGCCGTCGAGCCACGGCGGCGGGGTGCTGCCGGGGAACCAGATTGGCCTGTCGGGCGCCGCGGCGCGCACGGCGAACGACGCCCGCGCGGACGACGACTCGGCCTGCCTCAGCAGCAGCCTGCCGCTCCTGCCGGCGCCGCCGAGGAAGGAGGAGGCCCTGGCGGCGCCGGGGAGCGCCGCGACGGCGGTGGTGGAGGAGGAGGCGGAGACGAGCGCCATTGGTGCGTCGTGTCGTGTGCGCGTGTGGTGATCGAGGAGACGGCGCGTGTGGTGAGGGGCGGTTTAAGGGATCTGCACGCGCGGGAAGCGTAGCTGGGATGGGCGGCTTATCCGCGAGGGGATAGCGAGCGCGGCCGCGTCGCGCCACGCGGCGCCGGGAATCCAATCCTTTGGCTCCGGGTCACGCTGACGTGGCGGGATCCCACCGGGCTGGTGGGGCCCGATAAAAATCAGGGCGAGGCATGCCATTGGACGACACGCGAGCTCCACATTTTTGGCACATGACTCGCTCGCTCGCTACTCGCTACGTGAGTGGTGAGTTGCAGCAGTTGCATGTAACGCAGTGTCCTAACCAAAGAAAGTTCTTTCTATCAAGATATAATCTATTCATTTTATATTATAATATGTTTTGATTTTTTAAGTGAAACATCAAACTTTAAGCAAGTTTTAAAAAAGAATACGTAGCAACATTTTTAACACTAAACAAATATAATATGATTATACTATGAGAGGTCCAGATTAGTTATACTGGATGATAAACCCTGAGTTCCACTCGAAACTAAAGTTGTTGTTGGCCCAATCTTTCAGTGAGTTGAGATAATTACGATTTGAAAAAAAATATTGACGATCTGATTACAACCGTACAAGACGTTGCGTTGCACCTTAGCGATCGATACACCTCTCCGTGGGTTGTTGATCTTGCCGATGCAAATCAACCTTATTCATGTAAGCAAATCGAAGAAACAAGTAAGAATAAGATAAAATCAATATGATATTGCAAATAGGAATTAAATACACACTATAAGCTAAGGTTCTAAAGACAAGCAGACGGACAGTCTAGCCGACACGCGCGCTGCAAGCAAGTAGCAATGGCTAAACTTTGATCTAACAAAACCCGAGAAACCCTGAAGGGTACCTAGCTATTTAAGGAGGTGGAAGAACGACCATGAGGGTATTAGGGTTGTGCTCCACCAGATTGGGGCGCACCCCACATGGGCTCCACATGGGCCGGGGTCCCAGACGAAGTTCCAAGCCCATAGGCCCACTACAGGTGACACAACACATTGTTTCCTCAATTGCGGATGATTGGAATGGAATTTGGCAATGAAGCTAGATCCGTTGGAAAGAGGACTCCGAGATCTTTCGATCAAGTACTCACGGGCCGAAAATAAAGTTCGTATGTATATTTGGCGGCCCTTTGAAGTTAGTAATTTAGTAGGTGACCGAATCGAATTCTAGCACTTAGAGGACTTGATCTTTGTCTTCTTGCTGATCCATATGATGTTAGCAATGTTTGTAGCAGTGGTACCCATGGTCACATCACTGGATTATGTCGAATCTAGTATTATATATTTTAGGACCAAGGACGTATAGAATTACGACCTTGTTAGAAAATGGATTACGCGCCTATGCTAGGTGCGATTGAGAAATGAAAATAAGTGTATGGTTATGATTAAATGTGGTGAAAGAATGAATGGTTAGGATTAAACTTTACCCTACGGTGGATAGGAAATCTTTTCCTAAACCTATTTGCCAAGTGAGACCACACGACTAATGGTTAACACTAGTTCAATATATAAATTCTTGGCGGGAAAAATATCATATATTGTATCGTATAAATGTCGCTACAACACAACGACGTCATGTAATTCTTCTAGGTTAAGGGACGTAATTTTAAGAGTAAGAGATACTATGTAAATACTCTCTTAGATAAAAAAAGTATCATGACATTTGAGTTTTTTATAGTCTTTAAGGTGTGACTTTAATCATAACATTCTGTATAGGTTTGTAAACTCTAATCCTTTTATTAGTTTTCCTTTTTGTGAAATACAATAAAGATGTATTCCAGAGGACTTTGTTATTGATGGGTACATCATATATCACTGAAAAAATTAGCCGTGAATATGAACATCCTGAACAAGTCTAAGACTTCAACCAAAATGGGCAGGTTATACTACCATGAACCTAATCGGTTTAATTATGCTCACTTCACTAAGTTTATTAGGTTATGAAAGTAACTTTTCATCAAAAATCTACACTTACCATTTTTTATTTTGAAACTAAGTTTTTTTTTAGTATTTGTTGATAATCAAAGTCTTGCAAGTTTTTTTAAGAAAAAAAAATCAAACATCACGTATATTTTTTTATCGAATAGAGGAACAAGATCCTATGAGTCTGGTCTGGTTTACTCCCTCCGACCCGAAAAAAGTAAATCTAAAACTATATGTGACATATCCTAGTACAACGAATCTGGACAGAGGTATATCTAAATTCGTAGTACTAGGATATGTCACATCCAGTACTATGTTGGTTTTTTATGGAACGTGGAGTATTTTAAGAGTCGTATGTGTCTACTCTCGGAATATAATGTTCCTGAGGACTTCTAAAAAGCTACTAGTATTAAGTATGACTATTACATCTAACAACCTATCCATATTTTTCACAATTACACATATATAATTTTTGCTCCAAGTTCCCTTTCAGAGGCACTTTGTCCTTTCTGGCAGGATGTCTTCTCAACTCATAAATCAATAAATCGATGTCAGTGGGACATATATATATTTTCTAGTACTACTGCCCTGGTTAGTTCCAAAGTTTTTTTTCCAAACTTTCAACTTTCCATCACATCAAACCTTTCATACAAACACAATTTTTCTATCACATCGTACCAATTTCAACCAAACTTCCAAACTTCAGTGTGAATTAAACACAACCTATATTTTAAGTTCTACAGATACTACTGTTCTGTCCAAGTTCTTTTTTAAAGCCACTGTTTTTGCGGTTTTGCCATATATTATATATTTTAAGTAGAGACTACTGTTTCTACAGAGACTTAGTATATTTTAAGTTCTACAGAGACTACTGTTTTTGCCCTTTCGACAGGTTTTGCTCTATGTCAGTTGATATACTCAATATTAAAAGAGAAATTAAAATCTCACCCATAGAAATTAAAAGAAATGTGAAGCCATATGCTTTGAAAAGAACACCTGCCTTGCAAACCCAACGCAACTGCAAAAGGCGACAGCATCAAAAACCGTGACAGATCATCAAAAGAGCAGAAATATGTGATGAAGTACATACTTGTTGGCATGTTGCATCCTCAATCAAGAGCACCTCACAAACATCACAAACTCAATTTTTTTTTCACTAACGTGCACTCTCAACATTCATCATGCATACACCAAATTGAAAAGGGGACGTGACTCTCAAAAAGATGGAAAGGGAGCGTGCACCAACACCATCTCTGACCAGAGAGTGTCGGTAGAACTGGGCAATTCCCTCGTGTTCATACTTCGTGTAGTAACTTTGCAGAGGATGCATTCAAAGCGCGTGAACTAGCTAGACTCTGATGTTTATCTGGTACATCATTGAGTAATTACATTGCTGAGCAAATGCCATAAAACAACTCAGATAATACAGCAAATGGATGATACCCTACTAGTTGATCAAGATTATTCGTTCAGGTAGATGGTTATCCTTGCTCTAGAGTTTCTTGGCAGATTCTGCACATCTGAAACTATCCTCCAAAACCATGTTTTTGCATTAGGTGCATTATTATACTGAGATGTGCTGATTCTACTAGGGAACTCTGATGCATGCATGTACTCACTTGATTAGAAAGGTTTGTTCTTCTTGGAGCCATGCTTGGCCTTGACCATCTGGTTCAGTGCCTTCACGCAACGGCGAATCACTCCCATCGACTTCTTCCCCCCGTCTGGGCGCTTTATCACCATGGCCAACGTCGCGCCACCAGCAGCCGGAGGCACGGGAAGTTTATGATCAGCAATAATGGCTTTCTCCCCATTTCCGAGCTTGCTGGTGGCTTTGGCTTCTCCGACGATGAGGAGCTGCTTCTCTTGAATCAGATCCTGAAGGGAGAACCGGGGCACGTCGTCGGCGAACGGCGGCGTGATCGGCTTCTTCACAGTTTTGCGTTGCTCCTGGGCCTTCTGCTTCGTGTCTTGGCATTGCTGCTGTGCCTCGAGTGACTTGTGCTCTTCATTGTGATACTTCTCTGATGTCTTCTCTTCTTCGCATTGTTCAGCTGTCTTCTGCTCCCCATCTTGGTATTGCCCTGTAGTGTTGTCTTCATCTTCGTATTGATTTGGCGCCTTCTCCTCATCTTGACATTGCTGCAATGTCTTCTGATCCTCATCAAGATATTGCTTTGGTGTTTTCTCCTCTTCGTCTTGATCCTGGAACAGTTTCTCCTGCTCTTCATCTAGATAATGATGAAGTTTCTTCTCCGGTTCTTCATCCAGATGATCCTGAAGTTTCTTCTCCTGCTCTTCATCTAGATAATGATGAAGTTTCTTCTCCGGTTCTTCATCCAAATGATCCTGAAGTTTCTTCTCATGCTCTTCATCTAGATAATGGTGAAGTTTCTCCTCCTGCTCATCACGGTGTTGATTCAGTGTCTCCTGTGCATCAACTTCGCATTGCAGTGGTGCCTGTAGAATCCTCAACTCCTGATCTTCATATGGACATGGTGGCTGCAGCTCTGTATCCTGGCACTGGAACAATGTCTTCAGCTTGGCATCTTGACGTAGCTGCTGCACAAGGGGCTGCACCTGTTGATCTTGATAACAAGTGATGAGACTTGTTGATCTTCGTGTCCGCCTCGACATGCCAAGATCGAAGCGGCGAGATTTGTTCACATCACACTCGGTGGCCATTGTCAGTGGTATGAGGAGAAAGATCACCAAAGGAGCAACTTGCTTCTTCTCAGGGGTGGAGTTGTTATAGGTTGCCTGATGTGATTAGTAGATGCATAGTTCGTACTGAGAATAGGTGAGCTGGTAAAATGTCCATTTCAGAGGTAATGTCTGGTTTGGTCATTTGGAAGATCAGTGCCTGTCCTAGTACCCTTTAACCCCTACATGAAGTGAAATTAAAGTTAGTATCAGCAGACAAAGTGATCAATATTCTGCCACAAGCCCACAACCATCTAGAATATTTGTTCTGCAATAAGATTTTAATACATCAAAATTTATTTTGCAAGATGACAATATATATTAATCACGCGGCATAACGAATTGTAGGAAGTAGGGACAAAGTTCTGAAATAAAGAAATTTCTGTGCATTTTAAGCTATTCCCAACTACCTAAGAGCTGAGAACCAGCAATATTTGGTTTCAAGCAAAAGATTTGACTGACACGTCTTCACATACTTTGACTGCAATGTTAATCTAAAGCTTTATTTTGAATATATCACTGACACCTCAGATAAGAGGTAATGCCCACTTGCCCAGGTCCAATAAATAGCATTTCAGAAACTTACTCGTAGGTTGGACGAACTGATTCTAAACAAATACCTTGATAAGTACAATACCATTGAAGCCAATTCTGCCACCTAAAAGCTAACAACATAATAATTGTCTAATATAAAATGCACAGGTACATCTTATGTCACAGTCAACCTAAACAAAGTATTGATCTTTTCCCAACATTGTACATCTCAGGGTACACCAAATATATTCATTTACGGAGTTAGTGATCTTGCTTAGCTGCAGATGGAACTCCCTATCTTGCAAACCTCATCGTCCACTCCGCAGCTATTTCATCATGCTTAGTTCTATCAGTCAAGTATAAATGTCCAATGCTCGGCACAAGTGGGCAGTCTGCACGGAAAAAACAATCATAATATGAAGTTATCAAGATGAAATGAAGCAAAAATTATGTGTATATTACATAGTTTAAACAGGACTGCATGTTTTATCATGGAAGATAGTGCAGAAACAGAACAATTGTGATCATACTGTAACTTGGAACTTACATGGATCTGGGTTTGTTATGATGGCTTTAATGGCAAGTAGCACCTTTGAAATAGTTAAAGCAGGACTCCATCCTTCCCTTAAAATGTCCATACTCAAGTTACCAGTGGAGTCAACATTGCAGTGATAAATCCTTGTCTTGAAAGTTACCTAGCACAGTGACAGAACAGTTATAACTTGTAACCACGAATTGAGGTCCCCTAATACCGAAATATCGGATAAAATTACAGCAGTGGATCTCAATTGTTTCATACTTCTATATAAACATTGAAATTGCTGTTCCTTCAATATTGAAATTTTAGCATGTTCAACTGGAAGAGTGTATTACCTTCCATATTATTAATTACTGAAACATCAAATCAAGCCACAATTGCCAGCCCATGTGTATTTCCTCTGTATTATGAGTGTGCTATCCACTCTACAAAAACTTGAGAAATTCACTTACTATTGCCAAATTATATGGAGTGTAGCATTAGCAGAATTAATATGATTGCCATGTTGGACTGTATTGATGTTTGCATGGTTCCATGTGCTGGTTAAGGTAAAAGGTAGACCACTGCAGGGCTGTGTGTTAGGTCAAATCAGTCCTAGCATTGCCCTAGGCTTCCAGCACTGCTATCTAGAGAATGGGGGAGAATTCCAGATGCTCCATCAAATACTGAAGAGCAGAAATGGAGGTTGGTTGTTCGGATCCTTCATATCCTACCTCCCATCAAGGAATTATAAGTTGATGGTAATAGCTGGGCAAAGACAGTAACAGTCTTACTGTCTTAGCAACCAACAAACCATGAAGCAGGTGATCATGTAGGGCTGTGTAGGCTACAGCCAGCAGGTGTATACTGATTAGTCAATGTCAACACTAAATGGACCAAAAATCTGCATTTAGAAGGCTCATTTTTTTACCAGACTACTATGCAAATAGTATATTGACATAGGATGAAGGTGATGCCCAAGCACATTAGGCTTCCAATGGACAAAACCTTTCTCTGTAAAATTTTAACACAGCACTATCAACCAAAACAGGGGATGTCTAGGAAAACAACATTTTAGAAACTCTGCGCAGTTATTTTCTTGAACACTAAGCATAAAACAGACTTCAGATAAGTTTTCTTCATAAATAATCAAGATCATATTGAAAAGAGGTAAATGGTGCTTACCTTAAAAAGAACGCAGGTCGCTTTAATTAATAACAAAATAAACTAGCTTTAACATAATCTCTTTTGTTATCTATGCCCTTCTAATCATCACACTGTTTGCTGAGTTAGCCCTTGAACAGAAGCATTCCTTGTCCCCAAAAAGATTCATGAGATATTCCATTTTAGGATGAATCTTAATCCTTGCAGACAACTCGACACATTTTCAAACCCCTTCCAGGCTAAAATGCATAGATCATACACTTATTTTGAAGAAACTAAAAGAAGTCCGGTGAAGGTAGACTTTTGAAACAAAATACCCTATGCATTTACTAAACATACCAATGTTCATCACTTTTGTAATACCCTGTTCACATAGTGAAGTAGAACTAGCTATACAACAATATTATCCCAACCAATTATCCATCCTATTTGAATTTCTATTCCACTTCTTCAAGATTTTAGACATGCGCATGTCTCTTAAAAACATTTCTTTGGATGCAAGCATTTCCCATGTTACCTTAACCACACTTCCACGCGGTAAATCAATAGTCGTCTATCAATAGTTACTGAAGGGAATGCCATATTTATTCTAGATATTTGTTCCAATAACAGCGATATGATCACTCATGAATCACAGCATTAGGTAGAATGCACACAGACAAGGAGAGAAAATGTCAAGTTACAACTTAAGCTTCTATATGATCTCGTAGAAAGCCAGACACCTCATAACCAACAGCCCATTTAAGCAAACAGAAAAAAAAAAAAGAAGCTAATTCTTAGTTCTTACCATGGGAGGTTTAAACGGATAGTCAATTGGGAATACAATATCGAGGAAAAATATCCCTCCTTCATACGGAGATCCTACAAGATGAGCACTGCATTAGATCAGCAAAGTGAAGGTGGTCATAAGACTAGTTCACTCTACACTCCACACCCTAATTCCAAACTTGAAAAAAAAAAAACCGCGATTTCAACTAGTGAAATTCGCAGAGCCGCAGTAAAATTCGCACGAGCTTTATCGGCTGCTGCTAGCAGGGGGGAGTAAGCGGAGAGGGGGAAGGGCGATGATACCCTGAGGTCCGATGATGGTGGAGAGCCAGTGGTAGAGGTTGTCGCCCTTAGGGCCGGCGGAGCAGTCGGAGGCGTTGAGGTCCATCAGCTCCTTCTGAATCCGCTTCCCCGACGACGACACCGACGTGCCGCCGCTGGAGCCCCAGGGGCGCACGCCGCTCCATCTTCCACCCCCACCTCCGCCGCCGGAGCCCCCTCCTCCTCCTCCTCCGCCCCCGCTGGTGCCGGCGCCGGCGCCGGCGGGGAAAGGGGAGCGAGAGGTCGGGAAGGAGGAGGAAGACGACGACATGGCCTCGACGGCTGGCTTACGACTTGGCCTTGGGGGTGAGGGGGAGCGGCGCCGCCGGCGGTGGTGGGGGGATGGAGAGCGACGCCGGAGTGGGGGGAGAGCGGCGGAGAGGGGAAAGGTTAGAGGGAGTGACGGGACGATGAGGGGAGGTGCGAATTTATTTATTTATTTTTCATAATTGTTGTGATGTTCAGTGTAAAATACTACTCCCTCCATTTCACAACATAAGTCATTCTAGCATTTCTCATATTCATATTGATGTCTGTTTCACAATATAAGTCATTCTAGCATTTCTCACATTCACATTGTGAAACGGAGGTGAAACGGAGGAAGTAATTGCATTTCAATATAAATTACTCTATCCATCTTAAAAACCAAACTAGAGGAGAATTTGCAACATATGTTCAGAAATTTTATGTGGAGTTAAATCGCCACCTACAGTGGTTTTTTTAGACGGGAGTACAAAATATGAAAACTAAAATTTGAGAGAAACTGATTTGAGACGTGCTTTTATTCTGCGTGACAGCCTGATAGCTCCACATATACTCTTATAAATCCATTTTTGCTGTTCCAGTATTGCCAGTAATAATGGGCCAAAAGCGACCAAGTACTCAAATTTTAAACTGACCACACATAAATCCAACCCTGAAAAACCATAAATAAATTTCGGTGCCATGTAACTGTAACATATGGACTGCTTTAGAACGTAGAAATTTTTATGTAGGACTTAATTCTTCATTGTACAAACCAGGCCAGACATTTTTGCATCTGCTACATGAGACCAAAAAAAAAACTTAACAAACATGTAGTACTCAACAAGAGTATAAATTTAGAAGAAAAAAAATATTAGTGAGTCTGAGAGAAAAACACTGTTACTCAACAAGAGTGACAGTTTCAGTACTGAAGCGATATGCAGGGAGCACAAAACACTTTTTGAGTCATACAAACATTTCAGAAAAGAAGGTTTCCACAATTCAATACTCCCAGCCTGGCATTCAAAATTGATGTATTTGACTCCTTTCTCTAGGTCAACGAATTTTGAGAAACACATGCCATCTAACCTCAATACATCTAAGACAAATATGGCCTCCTACACTCCTACTGACAAGATCCACAATAAATTTCGGGCATCTCATCCAAAACGCATCATTTTTTTACAGGGTTTTACATGAACACCATGATAGACAGCAATGTAATTAGGTGAGTCAACCAGCACGAGTGAATTTGTGTAGCAAAATTGTCTGGGCTTACGGGCCCAGACGCCGCACCACCGTTGCTGCCATTGGAGCCAGTGCTGCAAGAAGAACCAACACTGCATCAGGACGTAGAGCCAAAAAAAAAATGTAGAACCGTTAGCACAAAAATATCGAGAAAGGACTCACCTTCCTGCAAAAATGCATGAACCATGGCCTGCATATTTTGATCCAGGGAAATTGTATTAGGCTCATCAAACAGGGAAAATAAGTAATCACCCGGTCCAATCTAACAGTAAATATTCTTGATCTCTTTGAACACACTAAAAAAACTTCAGGATGCCTTCTATAAGAAAATGCATGAAACTTCAGGATGTGATCATGCATTTAACTAGTGGTAAACACATTTTATATTAGCATGATCAGATATCTAAAGTCTAAGGTTTCTTCAAATTTTCTCGCTTACCATTCCTATGTAATCAGAGGTCCATGTCAGACATACACAAACTCAAACATGTTCAATTATAACCTTGTTTGCAGCTCCAAGGTGTTTACTGGCGTTCAATGGCATCTAAGTCATATTAAGAATAGGCAAACAAAGTCCCAATGAATGAGCCAATCAGTTCTTTTGCATGCACTTGTTACATTTAGTTTCGCTTGGATCAGAACAGTTTGTAATAGCTGCCATGCTGCATACCAGGAACAGGAAGACACCGTAGAAATCATGTAGTCATGTGGATACTATTATAGCATGCGACAGGATAAGCCCCTATAAGTTTCACAGATCTTAAGCAAGTTTCCATGTAACCAGTAAAATATTGGGCTGGTTAACTAATAATCTAACCAACATGATCTAAACTGCTATGGTGGCTGGTGGCTATTAGTTTGGTGAAAACATGCATCTAGTTGTTTTAATATATAAACTTAGTTTTTTTTTCCTGCAGTACTAGGAGCAAATGAAGATTACTAAAATGTTCAGAAAGTAAATGTCCTTTTAGTGCTGACTGCTGCTAACCATGCTTCCAGAAAACTAAACCAGGTAATTACCAATTGTGCAAAAGTGTTAGTACCTAATAATTGCAGGGAAATTGGTAGTCAAAGAGAAAGAAACCGGCTTACTTGGATCAGTAGATGTCACCATTGCCGTGCTATTGAAGTTGCATGTTCCGCCACTTGCTCGTGTCCTATGGTAATAATCATTGAAAGCATAAGAAGCAACAGCGACAATGTCATCTGATTTATAGCATGGTTGCCCAGGTTGAATTGCACTGCAGTTTGCAGAGCCAGGGCCACAGGCCCAATCCAAGCTTTGCTTCAATGCGCTATGAGGAGCACTAGAATTTGCTACACAGAATGTCCCTCGCAAAACTGGTGAATCTGTATTAGTTGTGGCCATGTCTTCAAATGTAAGGCTGTACACAGTAGTTGCATTGGGGAACATGATGCCCCAATTTTTCTCTGAGACAGGTCCAGCCCGAAGATCCTCATTGAACAACTCAAATATGAATGTGCTTACTTGATTGTTTGGCTGGCCAGGAGTACCAGAATTATTTAATACATGGCGTATGAGGTTTGTATTGTAGGCCAAAGCATTATCCACATTAGCAGCCTTCTCATTTTGCCCACCATGCGATGGCCACCCAGAAGCTGTGACCATAACAGGGATCCCAGTGAAATTCATTGCTTGCATTGAGTTGTATGTAGCATCAACCATAGCATCAAACATATTGGTATAGAACAAATTTGTGTTGGGATCTGAAATTTGGCTATCAGGGTTGAGTGATCGAAACAGCGCATATTCTAAGGGGAATACGCCTTGCCCTTTGACATAGTCATAATAAGGTTGGGCGTTCAGCATGAAGGGAGATGCTGTGTTGTTCAGAAATTGAAGATACTGAAGCATTATTGAGCTCCATGTCGAATTGAATGTAGCAGTAGATGGAGGAAATGGCTTAGAGATCATGTCTGTTGAATGAGGACTTGAAATTTTCACCTGGGTATTGAGATTTGCAGCCAAAAGCGCTGACTGTAGGAATTGCAATGCAGGTACAAGAACAAGAGCTGCATTTGGTTCTGTAGTAAGAACCTCATTCCCTACAGCAATATGCGTTATGTTAGTCGCTGGAATGTATGCAGCAACATTCTTGTTAATCCAATCAGCAGCTGTAGAACGAGATTGCCCCACTCGAAGTAGCTGATCATTTGGAACCCCAACCACCACTTCTATTCCAGTATTTGCAAGGGCAGATAGCATCTGATGGTCTGAATCAAGCAGACGAACATGTTGAATCTTCTTTTCTTTCAGGATAGACACTGTGTCTGATGCTGATGGTGGGTTCGAAATATCAGTGCCAACATTGATACCAACAAATGCTCCTGTGGAAGTGAATAAAATTGTTCCATGAATATATATATGGCAACAGTCATAAAGCAACCATTTTGCAGTTCAAAGCAGTAATTTGTTTGGTGTACTAGCTTAACTCTTCGCATGTATTCGAGAAAACTATCTCTCGCACAACTTGGCAAATCAAAGCGCAAATTGAATAAATACAATAAAGCATCAACCCTAATTGAAAGCACCGTGTTACAATAAAGCCATATTCATAGAAGTTAAGTTACAAATGTGCTGTTACCTGAAACATTGAAAACCATGAGCATTAACAGAATCACCACGCCTTTTAGGCTCGCTGGCCACATATTTCGGTGCTCTAGCATCTGATTTCTTATTATCCAATGACACTTTTCTCACTTTCTCAGAAGCACTTAACCGAAGCTGAAATATCAACATTGAAGAAATTATTCCCTTCAAACAATATAGCACAAACTTCACTTAACTTCTATCTTTAGGAGGTAATAAATTTGAGCTGAGAAAACTTTAATGATGAGAAATACAATTCCCCGCAAAAAAAATGATGAGAAATAAAGAATGCATCCACATTTGTAGAATACAGCCAAATATGATATTAAAGCATCGACCTTTCTGGTTCTTCCCAAATCATCATCACAAAATAACAGTTTGGGACATAAATGCAGTTCAAAAGTATTCAGATACTACTAGTTCAAAGAGCTTGCCGAATACTCTGCAAATCTGCAAACATCCAAGAAACAGGAACCAGGCGCTCATCCAAGAACCAAGCAATTCAGGGAATCTGAGAGAAATCTATCAGATAACCCGAGGTGGCGGAGAGCTGTCTGAAGAAATGCCTGGGAGGTGAACGGCCGAACGGGTAAGAAGAATGAAGAGGAATTCAAGCAAGAAAACCCAAAGGGGCTACGCATGAAAGCACATCAACACAAAGATGAACAAGCAAATCAAGCAGTTACCTCTCAAAACATCAGGACAAATCCCCAATACTAACGCTGCCTAATCATGAGGAAATCAGAAGAACTCCGTTCCCCGACAGTTAAAACTTCACTGAATATAAAGCAATGAGAAACGTGAAACAGGAGGACAAGAGCATGGTGATGGGCTTTGTTTCTGAGTGAAACGTGAAATTAAAATTTGTTTTGGAGTCATAAACAAGCAAGCTTTGAAGAACACTCCCATCACCCCTCACGGTTAAAATTCCATTCCTTTCCAAGAAACCTCGGTTGGTGAAAGGTCACGAGCACAAAAGATCACAAGCCTCCAGAAACAAAGCAACAAACGGGAACATCGCAATCGTATCAACAGTACATGAAAGAAAAATGAAACAAACCAACAAGAGAAGAGAAGAAAATAATTAAGCCACCTGATCTTGTCCCCGGAGAAGAGACCTTTCTTCCACTTCCACTTCCCCTTTCCAGATACACACAGCCAAGAACGAAGCACGAACTTCAGATTGGAGGCTGGACCGCTGGCTGGAGCCAGCACCGGACTACTACTACTGGAAGCAGTGAGAAATGGGAAGCCCTCTTCTCTCTCACACACACACAGAGAATCCGAGGAGGTAGAGTAGTGTGTGTGTCAGTCTCTCGGTTCTTGGTTTGGATTCTTTCCTGCTTCTGTTTCTTGGAGGATTAAAACCTCTCCAAGGAGAGGTGATTAGTAGTATTGATCAAAGTGCATAGGAGACGGGATTAAAAAGAAAGAAAAGATGAGGGGATTGACCGAGAGCTCAGCTCAGTCTCAGCTCAGCTGCGCGTGTCACAGATCCAATTAAGTTTCTTGGGAGACAGACATGGAGGATTAAAGAAAAGAGGTGGGAAAGGTGGAGGAGGAATAAAAGGTTGAGCTTTTCTAGGCTCGGAGTTGGGGGCGGGTTGGCGAACTGATCAGCGTGGTGTGGGATGGGATGACTGGCGAATGTGCTGGACTGGAGCGTGCACGGCGTGTGTGTGTGCTGTGCTGTGCAGCGTGCAGTTCCAGAGGAGCAGAGAAGGCCAGCGTAGCGTACTAGCGTTTCTGTGGGCACAAGCACAATCGGTGGCCATCTCTTGGACGTTCGGCTCATAAATCCAGCGTATTCTCGAGTTCATTTTCCGGCGCATTAAGGGTGTGTTTGGTGCAAGTCACAGTTTGCCACGCCTAAGGTTAAGTAAATTTGATAGTTGTTTAGTTATAGTTATAGTTGTGGTAATATTTTTCTCCAACAAATTCGGTCTCACATGTCAATGGCTCAAAAAATGTGGTAAGATTCCCTTAGACTTAGTAAGTTGTGGCTAACAATTTGATCACCTCATCTTAGGCAAGGTGTGGCAACTTTTATTGGTAAGTAATGGTAAAGTGTGGCCATGAATTAACTTCCTTCAAAAACGATTTTGGTGGTGTTTAGTTTTCTTCAAATTTCCAAATATTTCTGCATATCAAATGTTTGGACACATGCATAGAGCAATAAATGTGGACGAAAAAAACAATTGCACAATTTGCATATAAATTGCGAGACGAATCTTTAGAGCCTAATTACGCCATGATTTGACAATATTGTGCTACAGGAAACATTTGCTAATGACGGATTAATTACGCTTAATAAATTCATCTCCAGTTTACATGCGGAATCTGTAATTTATGTTGTTATTAGTCTATATTTAATACTTCAAATGTGCGTCCGTTGGAGGAGGAACTAAACACGACATTTACAGTAAATTTGGTGTGGCATTCCATAGGAGCTTCAGGGATTCATTGAAATTCAGGATTGAAAAAGAAACGAGAAACGAGAAAAATGCAAGTGCAAATAAAGTATTGTAAAATATAGAAAAATGCTAAAATGGTTGTTTGATTAGGCCATGGAAAAGAATGCAAGAATCAAATAAGAGTATTTAAAAATATAGAAAAAACCAAAATAATCATTTGATTAGGTCAAAGAAAAACGTAAAAATTGAATAAGATGGATAAAAGGAAAATTTTAAATATATTGAAGCTTTTGCTAACTTTTTTCTAAATCTTTCTTGTCTCAAATATCTTTATATAATTGTTTTAGGGTTAAATTTCTTGTGTTTTTATACAAATCAAGAAAGGCCCGACTCTTCATCCGCTCAAAAAGCGAAAGCATCTGAAACAAGGTAGCCTCGAGAGAGAAAAAAAAAGGGCCAGAAATCCAGATAAAAGGAGAAGAAAGAATTCCTCACCTCTAGCACGGTGCTCCGATGAGCCATGCTCTCTTACCACTTATACTACTATTTTTGTCACATAATATTGTAATCTTTGTTCATATTTATTATATGATGTGATGGGTTTTATTTTATCTTAAGTTATAATATTTTAGAATGAATAAAGTATATTGTTACGCTATGTTATAGGATTCACACGATCACATCGCTACATCAGTTAATAAATATAAACATCATTAGGAATGTAATATTCTCCTTTACTTGGCACTTCCCCAGCACTGAGGCCACTGCTAATAGTAGTAACTGAAAACCGATTCGTTGATGAACAGTAGTGTTAAACTGGCTAGATCTTTCCGAACTTTTGTCGCCGGCCAGTAATGCATGTGGAGGATAGGTACACAAAACCACCCAAATGCAAAATTCCATCAGTGATGCAACACATGGGCTTTGTGAGTTGTAACAATTGTTTATGCGTATATTTACTACTGGTTTGAAGTTGCTTTTGAACGATTGAGCTATGACCGATAAACCTTAAAAAAATAGCGAAATAATAATAAAAATAATTATGAGCAAAAAAATTATACTCGTGTCGTTAGCTAAAAGGCAATACTAAAAATAGAATACTATAAAAACAAAAATGAACTCTAATATTAAATCTCAAAATTTAAATTTCGGGCATGCCTAACGAGCTAACCAAAAACAATTCAAGTGCAAATCATCAGGCCTCTAAAACACGAGAATTTATTACAGAAATTTGGTTCGACCTCAAATCTAATTATGGAAATTTCTCATTCAAAACTGGCCCGTAAATTTGTATTCCACTGTTCCCAGGAGAAGAAAAATGAGAAATACTGTAGTCTCTAGCTCGAGCCACTCACGGCAAGTCTTTTAAAAGTACGCTTCTGTATATGTGAATTCAAACATTTCTGCCCATGTTTTGCTTTTTGCGCTCCCACTTTTAAGCTGAGAAAAGCACCGGCTGGACAGCAAGGCACGCAGAACAAAAGGTCTTTAGCCGTACCAATCGCATGGAACTATACCGTTGTAACGCAGCTTTGTGATACTACTCTTCAGATGGGTCATTTTTCATGCTAAAAATTTCTCAGTTTGCATCCCCTTTTTCAATCATGAGGAGTTAAAATTTTGAGAAACAACTACCCGTTTTTCAGAATATGGAAAAGCTGAATTTTCCGGTTTCTAACTTCTAGGTTAATTTTTTGATTCTATACTATAGCTGCGTTCGGTAGCGGTACATCGAGAGAAAATTTTTCTCATTCTCCACGCCCATGCTTTTCGAATTCGAACTAAAAGACATGTTTTTGAAAAAAAAATATATTGGAAAGTTGCTTTAAAAATCATATCATATTAATCTATTTTTAAAATTTAAAATAGTTAATACTCATTTAATTATACACTAATAGCTCACTTCGTTTTGTGTATCTTCTCAATGTAATCTTTTTCTCTCTTCTCAAGGACAACCAAGACGGTTTAGGGGAGTTGAAGCTTATGGGAAAAGCTGTGACTAGTAGTTTACATGCCAAGGATGAGAGATTTTTCTTTTACGGGAAAACAACAACGGATTCAGGCATGTAAACCAACTCATAGTTCCATACTCTGAATAGTAATGACGATGAGTGGTGAGTCTGTCACAATAAAAATGGTAAAAATACCTCACCAACAACTTTCTACTTTTTGTGAGAAATAAAAAGGATAGTACGGGATAAAAAGGCATACATGTCAGTAATAAATACGTACAGTAATTAAAAGATTATGGAAATGATGATAATAACAACTTAATGATTTTTTTAATTAAAATCCTGATACAACGCACTGTCTAGTCTGAGGAAAAATTATGTTCATGCGAACCTGAAATTTGTAAACCCACATGGTGCCATTGCACGTTTGCACGGCTGGGTCGGTGACCCTATTCGACTCTCAAAGATCGTCACGGAACAGGAGTCAAGGGTGCTATTAAGCCCCGATCTCTGGCCCTTGTCGCACTCGAGAAAAACCAACCCTAAAAGTTGACTGTCCTGTGCTGTCGGTAGTGGAGATCTGAGTAAGAGGAGGATTACATTAGTGCAAACAGTACTTGCTCCATTATTTTGTCACAGTAGGAAGAATCACAATTTCAGTTCCCAATTTCTTTTCTGAAAAAAAAATACTGTCACTGCTCTGCTTCCAAGACTGCTGCGTTGACTCAGCGGCCGTTTCAGGTTATAAAACGTTTTGATTTTGGTCAAAGTTAAGCTATTTTAAATTTAACTAAATTTATAGACAAATATAATAATATTTATAATACCAAAAAAGTTTTATTAAATCAATAATTAAATACGTTTTTATAATAAATTTGTCATGGGCTGAAAATGTTTTTTTTATTTTTCTATAAATTTAGTTAAATTTAAAGTAGCTTGACTTTCATTAAAGTCAAAACGACTTATCACCTGAAAAGGGAGATAGTACCATTTTGCATTGCACACTTTGGGATTCGACGTAGACAGGGCGCGTTTCGTGGCAGTGATCAATGCGGTTGTTTTCTCGTCGCTTTTTCGTGTTCAGATCTACCGGACGCCCGGCAACGGAGACATGGCAACGTTAGTTGCGGTGAGTGGGCGAACGACAATAGCAGCGGCGGCCGGTGATGGTGACGGCGCCGGCCGCCGGGGAACAGGGGCGCGGTGAAGACGGCGGGAACCTACGTGCACCTCCCGCAGGCCGCAGCGCTGTCTGTGTGCCTGCCTAGGCAGGTGGCACCGTGCCACGGCGAGGTCGGTGTCGCTGAATTGAAATCGTCTCCCCGCGGCGCCATCATGGCACGCGCGCGCGTGCCCGGGACCGAACACGAACACGAAGCGACAACGCCGCGTCGTGCGCGGCCCGGCGTTCGGTCGGTCGGGTGGCGTCGTCCTCCCGTCGGCAACGGCAAGGCCCAGAGCGCGTGTTGTGCTCCAACGCACTGAGGCCTCCGTGCCATTCTGTGGCCTGCTTGGTGACGTATGTGGGCCTTTTTTATTCGGAATTACTAAAGCTCCGTCGACAGAAAATTCTACCTCAAATCTTGTAAATTTTGGACTTCACGATTCGTGCTCTTCTTCTCCAACTCCGGCGACCAACTCTTCTTCTCTGGCGCCGACGAACCCAAACTCCGGTAGAGGGCCGACGAATTAGGGTCCGGGGGTGGGGGTGGGGTGGGGGGGAGGGGGAGGGGGAAGAGGGGAGAGTTCGCCGGCTTTAGAGGGATGGCCGTGGGAGGCGGCAGCCTGGCAGCGGGCGGCGGCGCCGCCGAAGCCGCAGGGTTGGAGGACGGCGGCGGGGGCAAAGCGGAAAGAGTTGGGAGGAGGCGGCCGGTGGTGGCACCCCGCCGCCGGCGACAGGGAAGACGACAGATAGCTCGTCGCCACCGGCTTGAGGCAAAGGAGAGGAGAGGGAGAGGGAGGGGGAGGGGAAGGGAAGGGGGAGGCGGCCGGCCAGGGGGGCCTCGCCGGTGCCGTTGACACCATTCGGCCAGCCGGCGAGGCCGGGCGGTGGCGCGCTGGGGCGGCGGCGGCGGCGGTGGCGGAGGCGCTGAGGAGCGGTGGCGCGTGAGGAATTGGGAAAGAGAGGAGAGAGGATTTTTAGGGTTGGTTGCCTGCACGAATCTTAAAGCAATCGGATGGTCCAAAATTTGCAATATTTGTGAGGGGGTTTTCTGTCAAATGATCTATAGACAGTCCCTTTTTATTTGACGGGGCCTTTAGTAAAGAAGAGGAAAAAGTACACCGAAAGGGTCCCTCAATTTGTCATCGAGTTAGGCCCTGTTTAGTTCCCAAATTTTTTTCCCAAAAACATCACATCGAATCTTTGGAGACATACATGGAGCATTAAATATAAATAAAAACAAAAACTAATTGCACAGTTATGGGAGAAATCGCGAGACAAATCTTTTGAGCCTAATTAGTCCATGATTAGCTATAAGTGCTACAGTAATCCACATGTGCTAATGACGGCTTAATTAGGCTCAAAAGATTCGTCTCGCGGTTTCCAGGCGAGTTATGAAATTAGTTTTTTTATTCGTGTCCGAAAACTCCTTCCGACATCCGGTCAAACGTCCGATGTGACACCTAAAAATTTTCATTTCGCGAACTAAACGCGGCCTTACAAAATCGTTCCCCAACCGCAAAACCAGATATATTACATCTCTCAACTTATAAAATT